ATATATATATATATATATATATATATATATATATATATATATATATATATATATACACTTGAAACTTACCTGAGATCCTGAATCTAAGTGTTACATTGCTTCTAAGTTTTCCTATATAATTAATTAATTAACCAATGAATAAGTGCAAAAATCTTGAGGTAGGAACTTAGAAAAGAGTTACATAACTTTCTAATCAAAGATTAGTCGTGAGGAAATTGAAATCCGTGATTTTTCCTGCATATTTCCATTGATTTTCTTGGAGCTTTGCAAGCACCATGAAAGTCATATATGGGTTGTGTTGGTAATTACTTAAAGGGGCATGTATTTTCCAGGGTAATTTTGGAGCATCTACCATTCTACCTGCGGGAAATAAATGGTTTGAAGATGCTCTGAAATTAAGGACAGAGATAAGCTTAATTAATTAATATTATTTAATTGATCGTAATTAACCAACCTGATTAGCCTCATAATTAAGCATGTTCCTTCAATCTCCAAAATAACTATGTGCTTCCAAACCCATAAAACATTAGTATACATTTAACTTTTAGTCGATTAATTGGTCTCTTGATGATTAGTTTGAAACTTTTAGCTAGCTAGCAAAACAATTATAACCCTTTAATTAAAGTGTTAATTTGTCTCTTATGCGTCCTGTAGATTTTAAGGATCTTTTGCGGAAAATAAAAACTAGCCTTAAGTACATTAATATATAAGCAAAAATCAATGATACTTATGCTAAGTTAATAAATGTTATAAAAACAATTAAAATAATATATATATATATATATATATATATATATATATATATATCATCTCTAATAAATGAATGTTTTTTATCACAAGTTAATCTTTAATGAGTTTTGACATTTGTTATTTTGTGATATTTTTTGAATAAATAATATCCACATGTCAATTTATGATTTTTTTTTTCAATTTTATTAATTAAAAAGCCACATAATCTTATATTTATATATGTAAAGTATCAAATATAATAAATATTATAATAAATTGCAATTAATATGTTTCTTCATTTTTTATTTAAAATTTTTATTTTTAAAAATAGTTATTATTTACATTTGAATATTTTATTTTTTTTAATCAACCCGTGTAATACACGGGTTTTATACCTACTATATATATATATATATATATATATATATATATATATATATATATATATATATATATATATAATCTTACATAGTACCATGAATCACGAGAATCTTCTAGCATTCTTGGAAACAAAATTGGCCACAAACTCATCGTAATCAAATATTATCAAATATATCATACTCAATAGTTATTACTATCAATCCATTTAGTCATTCTTGTAATATTGTGTACTATAAATATGACTTCATTTGAAAAGAACTCGCAATTAAGAATGAGGAAAGTGTGCCATCGTTGTCTTACTTTTTTCATATATTTTAAACATTTTCCTCATTTTTGATTGCAATGCTCTCTATTGTCCTTTAAGTGTTTATATAAAACGAAATGCCATCATATTCAGAAACCACAAATAATGGAAACATAACTTGATTTGTAGTTGTAAATTAGAAAACCAAAAATAAGAAATAAGATGTCGAGTCTAGTGGAATTAGAAAACCAAAAATAAGAAACATCACTTGATGTGTAGTTTTTGTAAATTTGAAATTTTGGACTTCAAACAAAATATAAGCTCTTGTTTGCTGCAAATCTATGTTAGGCCAAATGCAATTTTTAATTTTAAACTCATCGTTCACATCACACACCTTCAAAGATGTTGGTTTGTGTGTAGCTAGACTAAAAATGTTGTTGGTTATAGGCTTCATTAGTTTATTCTTTTGAAACGACAAACTATCTATTAAACTTACTCATAAATATTATATATGTCTCCTAAGAAACTTGAACCCCATGACCTTTCATTTGAGATAATCACTCCTTACCACTAGATCATAACCCTTTTGCTAATTGGTGCTTAATTGGTTTATTAGTTATGCATTTAGAAATGGTTAAATATTTAATTTACCATTTACAACTACTAGAGTGTATTTTAAAATTAGCTATATTTTAATATTTTTCGGTATAAGTTAAAGCATATCTTTGACCAACTGATCAAGTATGAACACTTATACTTTTGATGCACATGCACCTTAGCTATCTATATATCCATGCGCATCTCTTCGAAATTGAAGTACAACACATATCTCATCAACTAATCTTAATCAATCACCACCGTATCCTTCAACTTCATGGCAATCATCTTCTCTAAGGTTGGCATTATCGGAGGTGGCATAAGTGGGTTAGCCGCCGCTAAACAGCTTTCCAAACACAACCCAATGGTGTTTGAGGCCACCGATTCTATCGGGGGTGTTTGGAAACACTGCTCCTTCCGAACAACCAAACTTCAAACACCTCGTTGTGACTATCAATTCTCCGATTACCCTTGGCCACAAACAGATGATAACTCCAGTTTCCCATCTTACGTTGAGATTCTTGATTATCTCGACTCTTATGCCAAACACTTTGATTTATTCAAGCTTATCAACTTCAATTCAAAGGTCACTGAAATCAAGTTCGTAGGTGACCATGAAACTATAGCTTATCAAAGTTTGATGTCTGGAAAACCCATGTGGGAGGTTGCTGTTTACAATACCAACTCTGACACCATTCAGGTTAACTATAACTACTTTTTCTTCTTAATATGTTAAGCGTATAAAATTGCATGCGCGAAAAGAGATTAATGTTATTGCATGCATGTGTTGCAGTGGTATGCATTTGAGTTTATTGTGGTGTGTACTGGGAAATATGGAGATATACCCATAATACCAAAGTTTCCTATGAAGAAAGGCCCAGAAGTATTTAAAGGGAAGGTGATGCATTCTCAAGATTACAGCAAACTTAACACACAAGAATCTACACAGCTTCTGAAAGGAAAGAAGGTTGTGGTTGTGGGCTACAAAAAATCTGCCATTGATCTTGCTGTTGAATGCGCTGAAGCTAATCAAGGTAGATTTATCATTCATTTAATAATTAATAATGATTAAAAAAAAGTATTACTAAGAGTACTTGGATCGTTTAATTTGGTAATAAAACGTGTAGGCTAAAACGAAACTATTGGCTGATTTTGAAATTTGACTAGTATAGAGTTGAAAAGGGAAAAAAGAAATTATCGTTGCAGTTTCCATTTTAAGGCATGCTGTTAAAGAATTTTCATCCAAAAACTTTCCATTTTCAGACATCTGATTTTCAATTCTTCAACTCTGCAATTAATTAATAACACTCGCTTTGTATCTCTCTCTCTTTCTTTTGACATATTTTAAAGTAGCTGGTTTAAAAGATGCACGTAAAAGTCTTAACCTTTTCCTAGTAAAACAACGCTTCAAGTTGTTTATCCTAAAGTGTCCATATATTTTCAGTGTTGACTTTTTTTTAATTAATTAGTTTATATAAAATATAAAGGCTACCAAACCAATTAGATATATTATTAATTACGTAGTTTATATAAAAAAATATAAAGGCTACCAAACCAATTAGATAAATTATTAGGTAAAAACTTAAAGAACATCAAAAAAACAAATCCCAATCAATCTACACCAATCCTAGTCACAAATAATAGAGTAAATTACATGAATGGTTCCTATGATTTGGGGTAATTTGTACGTTTGCTCCCTATCTTATTTTTTTAACTCGGAAGGTCCCTACTGTTTGTTTTTGTAACGTGTTTACTCCATGTCTTACCTAAAAAGACTATTTTGCCCTTGTTTTTTTTTAATTTATTTAAATAAACACACTACAACCCCACTTCCATCTCACATTACCTTACATACCCCACTTTATTTAAATAAATGAAAAATCAATGACAAAATAATCTTTTTAAGTAACACAATGATCCTTTTCAAATTAAAAAAATTAAAAAAAAAACGTACAAATTACCTCAAACTATAGGGGACATTCGCATAATTTACTCCAAAAAGTATCATGTAACGGATAAAGCGCAGTCAAAACTCTAAAATACCAAATTAGCACATAATGCTACATAGAAGTTTGTGTATATGAAACCGATTGTTGGATGTTTTATGAAAATTAAAGGTGAAGAAGGGAAAGCTTGCACAATGGTGGTGAGGACTCTCCATTGGACTGTTCCACATTACTCCATCTGGGGTTTACCATTCTACTTATTCTACTCCACAAGATTTTCTCAATTCTTCCATCAAAGACCCAACCAAGGAATCTTCAGAGACCTTCTTTGCCACCTAATCTCCCCCATGGTAATTAAACATTTAAACCCCATTTTCAATCATTTTCCTCTAATTATTATCAAATATTATTAATTTCACTACAAATTAACGACTAATTTGTCCTTGACTTACAGAGAAAAACAACATCCAAGATTATCGAATCTTACCTTCTATGGAAGCTTCCACTCATCAAGTACGGATTAAAACCAGAACACCCATTTGAGGAAGACTACGCATCATGCCAAATGGCAATCTTGCCTGAAAAATTCTTCCCTGAAGTCGAAAAGGGCAAAATCAATTTCAAAAAAACATCCAACTGGTGGTTTTCGGAAGGTGGTGTTGAATTCGATGACAACACCAAATTAGACGCCGATCTTGTGATTCTTGCCACTGGTTATGATGGAAAAAAGAAGCTCAAAGACATCTTACCTGAACCCTTCAAAAGTTTCCTTCAATTCCCATCTGGCATGCTTCCTTTGTATAGGTAAACAAATCATTGTTCAATGTTCATCAATTAATTTCCCGTAATTATCACCAATTTTTGCTCTGTTATACTAAAACGTGTTAATAATGTTGACAGGGGAACGATTCATCCTTTAATTCCAAACATGGCGTTCATAGGCTATGTGGAAAGTGTCTCAAATCTTCACACTTCAGAGATTCGATGCAAATGGTTAGCCAATTTGGTTGATGATAAGTTTGAGCTACCTTCTACAGAGAAGATGCTCGAACAGATAACCACAGAAATGGAAATAATGAAGAAATCCACAAGGTTTTACAAGAGGACATGCATATCTACTTATAGCATCAATCACACTGATGAAATATGTCAAGAAATGGGATGGAATTCATGGAGGAAGAAGAACTGGTTGGCTGAAGCATTTAGCCCTTACAACAGTCGAGACTATGAACATGACATATGAAATTTGTGCTTAGTGCCATTTATTCTTTACTTACATAATTTGTTAAATTCACACGTTCATTTCTAAAAATAAAAAGAGTGCTCCATAACTCAAAGAGTGCTCAAATATACGGGGATGTAAAGAAAACTTGATATGGAATGAATACATATAAGATATTTGTTTACGATTCTTAACGTAATTCTTTTACAAATTACAAAATTAAAAGCTCGAAATGCTTAAAGACTCTGAAGCAACTTCAAGGTCTCATCAATGTGCTTTTCAGGCTGGAATTGATTGTTGTAAACGAGCTGAACAACTCCGTTTTTGTCAAGAACATATGTCTGTCTACCAGGCAATGTTCCAAAAAGATCAGAAGGAACTCCCCATTCTTTTCTGACTTTATTACCCTCATCACTCAGCAAAGTAAATGGAAGTCTGTATTTCTTTGCAAATGCCTACAAGAGAAACAATGGATATCCATGTATATGGGTGTACTAATTGATATGTGTACTTAAAATTGGGTATATGACATAAAATTGAATTGATCTTATTATTACCTTATGTGATTCTGCATCATCACCACTAATCCCAATAACCTGAGCTCCTGCTTTCTTGAATTTTTCATAAGAGTCCCTGAAAGCACATGCCTGCAGATTGCATAACAAATTTTTCCAAAATAGTTGTTTAAACATCCAACATTAGCAGATGTAAGCTTCGAAAAGATAGTTTATTTAAGGATAACGAGATAATAAAATATGATTCGAACCTGTTTAGTGCAACCAGGGGTTTCATCAGCAGGGTAGAAATAGACCACAAGAGGTTTGCCTTTGAATTTCGAGAGGCTCACAGTTTTACCATCTTGATCTTTAAGCGTGAACGATGGGGGCACAGACCCTTTGTTTACCTGCAATTGCGAACAAGGAGAGACAGAAGTGTGAGATAATGAAGTAGAAATATGATCGAGAAATCAGTGAAATGTACCTTAGCAGACACAATGGGAGAGGTCTTGCTGACCAAAGGAGTGAACGAAGAAAAGGAAGATGGGATCGAAAGGGAGAGTTTAAGGCCATGGAAGTGGGATTGAGAGGATTTGAAGGGGTTATTAGCAGAAGGGTATTGTTTGGGGGTTTGAGTAGTAGCATTACAGGCAGCAAGCGAAGAAGAAAGAGATGGTTTTACCAAAGACGCCATTTTTAGGAATTGCGATTAAAGCAGTGGAAACTCAGAGGTGAGGAAGATAGATAGGCTGGGTTCACCAAAATTTTCTTCAGCCTATGAGAAGGAAGCAAAATCGGTTTGGATGGGTTGCCTTGGCCATAAACATCCGTTTGGTTTTCCTAATTGACGTGGATGGTCGCGGACCATCCCCTTCGCATCCTGAAGTGGATGAGAGTCGAGAGTAGGTTTGCCTTTGTCAATTTCTTTCACAAGGGAATACAACCAATTAGTGTTTTAATTTTTAAACATGGTTTAAGCAAACGCTAATCTTATCAATAAAAATAACTACATCATTAGAAGAATTAAATTAAACGCAACAGATGAGACCTTTAAAAAGAGAAATACAGGTAACTTCTTTAAGAGAAACCCTATCAATACTAACTATATGGATCTTGATGTGGGAATAATTCCATTTTGATGGGTTTTCTAGTTTATAAAATTTTTTACATGTGGCAGAAAAACACTTAAACTCTTAAGTTGCGCATACAACCTAGAAAGGATCAATATTTTCTCTATCGATAGCAATTAACTATGAATATCAAGAAACCCTAAGAGAAAGGCTATAAAATCAAAATTCATACAAAATTAGGGTTATATATATTTTGATTATTGTTGTAAATAATCAAAATAGAATCCTTCTTCAAAATCTTTGAAAGCTAGCACCAAAAGAATAGATGTCTCTAATGGCTTGTACCCAAAACCCTAGTAGTAAGAAGACTTGAGGATAGAGGAGGCTCGAGCAAATTTCGTGTGACATCCCCAAAATCACGGCCAGAAAAGACCGGTTTTGTTTATACTTTATTTCAAAATCAGAGTTATCTTTTAATAAAAGGATTGCGGAATTTGTCCCAAAACAATAATATGATAAAGATTTATCAAAAGCATTTCCATAGAAATGTATTTCATTAAAAGACTCGGGATGTCATGTTCGTACAGATCAAAAGTATAAACAGTACAATATAAGCCTTACTACATTATTTCATATCTACAGGCCTATATCCGTAATCTCTCGTCCAAAACATCACACCTATGCTCATGCGCCACTACCTGTAATACATAAAACTGAGGGGGTCAGGCTTGGGAGCCTGGTGAGCACATAGGGTTTTCAACCCACAATAAATAAGTTTATTAATTTCATCAATCAACAATAACCCGATTACCCGTTCCCGTTATCCTCACTTTACGTCCCTAAACACCTATCATAAGGGACCTAGCCTAAGGATCATCATCGGGACGGACACTACTGCTAAGGGGATTCCTCAGCAATAAATGTCCTAATAGGCAACCATGTGGGGGATGGAGTACACTGGTGAACACATCGTTCACAACACCTACAGGTTGCGAGCCTGCTAGTGTTCCACTGGACTGTCTAGAAGAGTCCGTGGTCGTCATCTATACTCCGCTAGATGACTGGATCAACAACAACAACATCGAGACCTCTCATCATTTTATCACACATCACCTATTACATCTACCCATGTTTTACCCCAACATTTTCGTAGATATAAAATACGTATACAGTTTAAATCATTGAAAACATGTATAACAACGTTCATCTAGCATAGATAGCAAGTATTCAGATAATATGCACACATAGCACGTAATTTATATAAAATACTTCATATCTATGTGTAAGTTGAAGGTAACTATGCACTCACCTGATTAGGTGGTGACTCAGCACTCGGACAGCGCTTCGATACTCTCAAAATGATATTCCTTCGATAAACCTAGTATCGATACACTAGGGTTTAGTCTAATGATAACCGTGACAAATTAATTGTCTGAGTATTATTAAGCATTAATAATACTCGATATATCTCATAATAATAGCCCAAATAATTATTTTAAGGACCTAATAACATTCCTATAATTATTTGAAAGCTATATTAAAAATTGCATAAGCGTAGCATACTTACAGCGAATTTTATCGAAAACCGGACTTAATTGGAGCAGCGTTTCGAAACCGAAAAACTCCTTTTTCTCGGGACTCCGGGAGCCTCGGGGCTTCCTTAGGGTGCTAGGGGTTTAACTAGGGCTTAGGGGTGGTTTGGAACCTTAGAGAGAGAAAGAAACTAGAGAGAGAATGAGAAATGGTGTGAAAAATGAGGGCACCTTCGGCCCCCTTTTATAGGCGCGAGGGCCTCGGATACGCGGCGCGTCCAGCAGCGCTACGCGGGGCGTAGCTCGGAGGTGGTTGCCAGCTCGCAACAGCTGGCTCGCACTCGGACTCGGACGGATAAGGCCGAAGGTACGCGGGGCGTACCGGACCTCGTACGCGGGGCGTAATGCGAGTCGTCGTGGCGCGATCCGGAGCGAAGCCTTGGTCAGCAAGCAACGGCTCAGAAGCGGCCACGTCATCATCTTCGCAACAGGTTTCGCATTTTCGAGTCCTAACTTCAAAAATTCGTAACTTTCGCATACGAGCTCCGTTTTTGACGTTCTTTATATCCACGCGAAGGTGGGAACATACTCTACAACTTTCGTTTAGACTTCGTTGACTAATTTTGAATCAATTTTAAATTTTATTTTATCAACGGGTCGGGATAGGATTGGTCTGTTAAATCCTCATAACTTCTTCATCTGACATCCGTTTTCGCCCATCTTTTTCTCGTTACGTTACTCTTAACGAGATCTTCGATTCTCGTTTAGGTCGTGTCGGCTAAAAACCGCTCGATCAAACATTTGAATTTCGGGCAGTACACTGCTAGTCCGAAACTTCGAAAAATCGTAACTTCTTCATACGGAGTCAGATTTGGGCGTTCTTTTTATCGATGTTCTTAGTTTAACATATTCTACGACTTTTGTTTATATTTCTAAGGCTAAAAAGTCTTCTATCGTAAATTCACTATTTTATGTCTTCCGGTGCCGTGTCGGTTTTGCCGTAAAACTTCGGCGGGTCATAACTTCTTCGTTATAGCTCGGATTTCGGCGTTCTTTATATGTATGGAAACCTTGAGACATATTCTAAAACTTTATGTAGAGATATCGGGATTATCTCACACTTTAATTTTGACGCTCATTTTTTTCTTTATTAATTATACATTTATAATTAAACAATAAACACAATCACACATAATTCACATAATACTCAAATATTTCATATTTATTACTTCAAAAAGAGTTACAATAGTTGACCTAGACTATTACATTGACAAAAATGCTTAGCCCTGAAAACCCGGGCGTTACAATTCTCTCCCCCTTAGGATGATTCCGTCCCGGAATCATGCATCAGCAAACAAATGTGGATAACGACTCATCATGTCATCCTCTGTTTCCCAAGTGAGATTCGGCCCATTCGAATGTTTCCATTGGACTAGCACTAAGTCGACCATCTTGCGTCGTAACTTCTTAGTCTTACGGTCAACAATTGCCTCGGGCTCTTCGATCAGCCTTTTATTCTCATCCATCCTTAACTCTGAGATTGGAATTATGTCGGGAACATCTCCCATGAATTTCCTCAAATAACACACATGGAAGGTGTTATGAATACCATTGAGTTTTCGGGCAATTCCAGCTTGTAAGCTTGGTTCCCAATCCTCTGAAGAACTTTGAACGGTCCAATAAACCTTGGACTCAACTTTCCTCGTTTCCCAAATCGTATAAGTCCCTTCCACGATGATACTTTAAGTAAAACGGAATCCCCAACTTCGAAGGTTATCGGTCGTCTTTTCTTGTCGGCATAGCTCTTCTGACGATCCTGATCTACTAACATTCATTCCCTAATCACCTTCAATTTCTCAGCAGTCTCATGGACTATCTCGGGGCCCATAAACTGCTTCTCTCCGGCTTTAAGCCAACAAGATGGCGTACGACACTTCTGTCCATACAAGGCCTGATAAGGTGCCATCTTGATGCTCGAGTGAAAACTATTGTTGTAGGAAAATTCTACTAGAGGTAAGTGGTCGTCCCAATTCCCTTGGAATTCGAGGTACATGCTCTCAGCATATCTTCCAACGTCTGAATCGTTCTTTCGCTCTGACCATCAGTTTGCGGATGGTAAGCAGTACTCAAACACAACTTTGTACCCAACTCCTCTTGTAGACTCCTCCAAAACCTCGACGTGAAACGACTATCACGATCTGACACAATCGTAAGAGGGACACCATGAAGTCTTACAATTTCCTTCACGTAAGCATTTGTGAGCTTATCCATAGACCATTTCTCGTTGGCTGCTATGAAGTGTGC